TGGTCTCGGCTGCGGGGTCGGTTCTCGGGTCGGTGTTTTTGATGCTTGGTTTGATCAATGTGGTTCAAATCAAACTTGGAATTTTGGGATGTGGAAGTATGCATACTTATGGAGCTATTATTCCACTTGTGATTTTTGTGCCATTAGGGCTCCTTATTTATGTTTGTACTGTTTTTTATGCTTTCACTCGTTAATTTGATCAATGTATACTTAATTAATAACTTAATCCATTAACAAAAAAATTAACTATATTTGATTATTTTCTATCATCCCAAAATGCAAACTTGGACATTGTATAAATATCTAAATTTGATATTTTAAAATGTTTTTTTTTAAAGTTTATTTGTCTCTACTTTTAAGTGTTTTTTCTCTACTAGTTGGTTTTTTCGGAAAACTCTATTTATTCTGATGTTTACATCTTTATTAGAAATTTTTGATGAACCAACTATTAGTGTTGGAGTAACAATAAAGTTATCTTTGTGCAATTTATAAGTTATAATATGAATTGGGAGAGAAGGTTGATGATTATGTCATACTCTTTAGGAGGGTGATCCTTTTTTGAACTATATGTGAATATGAAATACTTAGTGCATCGAGTTGTCAGGTTAGGAATGAACTCATAACGATTGTGTCTGTTTTTTTATGAGAAAGAAGTGACTCGAATTAATGTGAGTTTTTGGATGGGAAAAATTGAATTTTGACATATATATGGAAAACACAAATTTTCATGATTGAAGAAAATTGTAAGCGACTCTTGTGCAACCCCATTTTCATTGGCCCAATTGTCAATCCTAGTCCTGATTGGTTATTTATGTAGTTCCAGCTCGTTTGGATATGATTTCAAATACATGTTTGTTTTAAAGGTCGGAAACTGGCACCACCTACCCGAGCAAGAGTTGTGCTCACCGGGTAAATCCGGAGAAGGGGAATTGAACTTTATGAGATCGAATTTCTTGTTGTTCCTTAGTAGCTCAGTGGTATAGCGGTCGGTTGTTAATCGATTGGTCGTAGGTTCAACCCTTTTTTAATGTGTCGGTGTACTATATGGCTGCCATAAGACCCAACTCGTTAGTAGATATTATGGAGGTTCAGTGAGCAGCATGCCGAAATTTTATTTGAACATGTAATTTGGATTTTTGAAATTTTGTATTTTTTTCTTTTAAAGATGAAAACACCATATATATAATTTGTGAATACTATCAAAACTTTCCTAACTATTATCAAATAAGTAAATCATAATTTATAAATAAGGTATTGAAATTTCACGACTTGCTGAATTAATAAATCACATAGTTTCATATTTCTATAAATAAATATTTGGGATTCATGTTATTTCAAAGTTCCAACTTTCAAATAATTATAATTTTACGAAGATTTAACGGTCCAACAAATCAGCAATAGTAATAGCTAACTATTCTGTGATAAAATGCTCCACAATGAAATAGACAACTTATTCTTCGCTCATGAATTAACGGGACATCATATCATACACGACATCGTCGTGTATGGTAATTCACGTGAGATACACTCAAACTGATTTGTATTACTATGTAAGATATATATGTCTATTTGTTCAATTTTATTTAAATTTTATCTGTTTCATTATGCATATCTAAAATTAAAGAACATAAATATTAAATGATATCAAATTAAAAGACACGTTCATATATAGTTGTGCTTGGGGGATGGAAAATGGAAAAGGGGGATGTTTAGACATTAGTCGATACTTTGTGTCAAAACTTGTCGATGGTGATGGGTCATCCACTACACCAATATGCATACTTTGGCCCCACAACACACACACACACTTCCCTAAAATGTTTGGAAGGTTGAAAGTCCAATATTTTTACCAAATACAAGAGCTACCCTAGACCTTCATGCAACCAATCATCAAATGACACATCATTATGTTCAATTGTCATTAAACTTAAAACTAAAATATACTCTCCATCCCATTTTACGTGAGGTAATTTGAATCGACATGGAGTTTAAGAAAAAAAGGAAGACTTTTAAAATTTGTGGTCTAAAATGAATGGTAGAAATTTGTATGACTATAAATCATTTCATTAAGGGTAAAATGAGTATTTTAAAGTTTAATTGTTAATTAATATAGAAATGTGTCATTCTTTTTTGACCTGACTAAAAAGAAAAGCGAGTTATATAAATGAAGACAAAGGGAGTAACAAAATCAATACATAATTCATTATTGGAATAATTATATTATAATACATGATTTTTTTAGCTAAATTAAATTGTTAAAAATGCACGATAAAAAACAGATTCTTATTTCATTGAAAAAGACATATTTGTGGGAGGTATAAGGATGATAATAATGAACCTAAATTGAGCTAATGATTTCATGGTAAAATTAAGCAACAGGATATTTAGATTATGTTCAATATATTGCGTATCCAATGTTTATCATTACATCTTTTCTGTGTGAAAGTTGAGGGGAAAAACTATTACTTTCCCGTTTCGAAATATTTATCCTTTCGAGAGTTAAATTATCGTACGTTGATTTATGTTTTGACATATACTGTTTGTATATATTAAAATGTGATTATAAATATGGTATCAATATAATTTAAAAAATTAGCATAATGTCGTCTCCACATAAACATATTAATAGTGAGACCAGTTGGCTAGTCTTGTATTAGTTTTAATATTATTTAATTTTTATTTGATAGTATTTTCAATCTATATATAATTAATACATATATTAATTATATTAGTTATACACTTTATTTAGTTTATATAAATTAGATAGTAGCATCAACAATAAGAGATCTTATCCTTATACTAATACATCTTATTCAATATTTCATCCTTCTCTTGATACTTATCATGTTTTACTTTTCAAGTCAAATTGCATTAATTTTGTTCAACATCATAATATATATAATTATATATATCAAATTAATATTAAAAAATTACAATTTATATTTCTCTTCGTATATGTTTTAAATATCTAAATGATATTTTTAAAAAAAATGCTAAATTCAATCTTACTCAATTTAGGTTCAAATAATTAATCAAACTAATTCAAAAATTAAAATTTGACAATTAATATAAGATACACAAATAACTTTTTATTTTAATACAACAAATTAAATAATTACTAAACAATAATAACAATATAACCAATCTTCAACATTCTATTACTCCATATTCTAACCATCCTTATCCAAATTCAATTTGTCAATGCCCCAGGAGAGGAAAAAAAATTAATTGGATGCACATTGGAAAGCAATATCGTCTCCGTCGCTAATTATTTATCCATTTTAAAATTGATATACCTATTAAAAAAATAATAATTTATATAATAAATTTATCATTTTATCCTATTAATTATAAAGTGGATGAATTAAAAATTTAATTATCCTTTCTTGATTAATTAATTAATATGGATAAATAAAAAAATAAACAAGTAATTACGGACGGAGGGAGCATGTGTCTAATTCTTGGGAAATGTGAGGCAGAAGATTAAAATAGGGAGCGTAATATTTTGACAGCACAAAATGATTGCCACTTACCATTTGACAATAAACATATGAAAACATTGCCTTTGTAGTCTCCTATTTTAACTTACGTGACACGGTTAAAATTTTGAGATTCAAATTCAACAAATTAATATACAAAAATTTGAAAAGAATTAATATACATCAGCTTCTTTTTTTATCTATAAAAATAACAAAATTATTTTTGATGGATACTTTATCTTAAAGTAAAACAAACTTAAAAATTAAAAAAAAGAAAAAGAAATAACTTTATTGAGAACCAAGAAAGGAAAATCTTTGATGTACTTGTTCTGAAGAAACCCCAGAGTTGCACAGGAACCCAAAAAACCTAGCCCCCCACAAAGTACCATCTGAATACTATATTTTTAGGTTTTCATTCGATATTCCATATTTATATTAAAGTCTCATTAAATTTAAATTTTAAGAATAAAATACTCTTTGAAGAAGATGATTCCGTATTTGAAGAGACTCGAATTTGAAACTTCTGATTAAAGATGAAAAAGTAATATATTATGTTAAGGTTAGTACTTTCTTGAAAATGTAATAGGGTTTTTCTATGAAATGTACAATACAATATGATTGAAATGACGAATTGAATTAATTACAGAGTCTTCTAGATCATTCCGTCTTTTTGGTTTAAAGGATTTTTTCTTGTTAGATCTCAGTTACAAAAGCAGCAAAGTGCTTGTTGGTGGTGTTGTTTTTCTCCATCTTTATTATTCCAATGTAAACTGAGGAGAGTTAGTTGGTGCCTCCAAGAAGACTACTTTTTTGGCTCTTTCTGATATTAAAAAAAAAAAAAAAAAGACATATTCACTTCGTTTAATTTATTTATCTGATTTTAATTTAGCACAAACATCCTTAGATAAAAAGTTAGTAATGAAAATTTTATATTAATCACATTTCGCTATTTAGTGATAAATTATATAAAAAAAAATTAATATGTCCTTTAACTTGACATCAAATGACATCTATACTCTCAAACTTTAAATATACATAATTAGTTGAACTTTTAGCTTATATGAATTTTAATAAATAAATGCATGCATCTTATGTAGCCTTCTATAAGATAATTAATTGCGTTTTACGTGAAGTTGTACATGTATTATATAATATAAAAAACATATATTTATTTATTCAATTTTATACAACTTATAATGCCTACTTATGCCTTCAAAGTCAAAAGATATAGATTCAACTAAAGTCAAATATACTTATTCATTATGATTTATGACAAAGTTTAATTAATTAGAAGCTTTTTAGCAACGAATTAACTAAAGCTTATCGATAAATTTCATTTTTTTAAATTAAAGAATTGTCAAAAAGGAAAAAAAAACATTCTTTCTTAAAATACAGAGAAAAAAAAGTAAAGATTAAATTTAAGCCAAGAGGGTATTTTCTTTTTCTTTAAAATTATAAAACAGAGAGAGAATTAGTCTTTTAGAGAGAGAAAAACAGTACATTAGATAACTTTTAGTGAATTTTTCTCTCTAGGTTAGTGAGAATTTTAGGTGAATAGAGTGAAGAACAAGAAAAAAAAATGGCTAATCGATGGTGGGATGGAAATACAGCAATGAATCCAATGGTTTCATCAAGTAACAATCCAGAAGAAGAAGAAAAATCAAACAAACTCCGCCCCGGAAAAGAGCAAGAGTTCATGAATACAACCACCAACAGTAGTGAAAACCCAAATGAAATGAGTCAGGAAGGAGAAGAAAATATACAAAGTCCCGAAGGTCTGTTCTCCTCTGGACCGCGTAGAGCTGGACGGCGACCCAGAGGAAGACCTATGGGCTCAAAAAACAAGCCCAAACCACCAATAGTGGTAACTAAAGATACCCCAAATTCCCTCAAAAGTCACGTTTTGGAAATTAAATCCGGAAGCGATATAATAGAAAGCATAGCCGCTTTCGCGAATCGCCGCAGCTGCGGCGTATCCGTTTTGAGCGGCAGCGGTATTGTAACGAATGTTACGTTACGCCAGCCGGCCGCGGTGACCGTGGCCGGGGGCGTAATTACGCTTCACGGGAGGTTTGAGATTTTGTCATTATCCGGCGCGTTTTTACCCGCGCCGAATAGTCCAGTTGGAGCAACTGGACTAACTGTGTACTTGGCTGGTAGCCAAGGACAAGTTGTTGGTGGAAATGTTGTGGGTGAATTAATAGCATCTGGACCAGTTATTGTAATTGCTGCATCTTTTACAAATGCAACATTTGAAAGGTTACCAATAGTGGATAATGATGAAGAAGAAGAGGAGAATAATGCAAATGAAGGGATGCAAATGCAATTACCTACAGCTTCAGGGGTTGGTAATGTTAATTCTGATAATTTGCAAGTTGATCATCCATCTCCTTCTACTTCTATGCCTATGTACAATTTAGCCACTAATGTTTTGCCTAATGACCAAATGCACCATGAAGTTTTTTGGACTCCTCCTCCTTCAAGGCCTACTCCATATAGTTAGTTATTAGTTTATCTTTTTTAATTAGAAACTTTTAGAATGTTGTTTACTATTTGTGAATTTTTTTCCTTTTAATTAAGTTGTAGGTTATGTTTGTAACTTTGAATCCCTAGAAGTTTTATCAATTTGGTTTGTTCTATAAGTTACTATCTTTTTTGTAGAAATTGTTTGAGTTTTCCTTGATGTAGGTTAGACAATATTGTCTAGACATGGAAGAAGATTCAGATACATTCATCTTGTGATTCAGGTATCATTTACTGATTTAATTTATCATATATATATATATATATATATAATATATGATGTTTGAAGATGGATATAGAATTTAAACTTGATGGTTCAATCTTTATGTTCTTACCACGGAATGTACCATGTAAGTTAAGGATTTAATATTGGTTGAAATCTCTAATACTTCTCTTATTTAAGTTTCTTAGTGCCACACCAATGATAACATACTCGATATAGTTCCATAAGTGGGTAAGTGAGGTCGGGGATGATTGGGTCTATACAGATCTTACCCTAATTTTCTGAAAGATGATTTTCATGAACTCTTGGATAAAGAACTGTTTAGCTCCTAGTACACCTTCTAGTTTTGGTGAATAGATATCTAGGTAGAATTATAGCTATTACTTAAACTATATTTTTGATATTTTTGTTTAATCATTTGGTATTAATTAATTCAAATTTGCGTCGTATAGTGCCGATTTAGGGGAGAAATGCTACTATCTACTAGAATTTATTTTCCATTATCATAGTTCAAATCGAAGACTTTTGATTAAAGATTGAGTACTAGCTTTCTGTTAATGAAAACTGCCAGTATCTATACCTTTCCAGGCTTTAAATTAAAAGTGATTATCATAGTAGATTAATTGAAGGCTGGAGACTAGTTATGGTTGTACCGTTCACGGACGTGGTGTAGTGGATGAGGTTCACGGACGTGGTGTAGTGGATGAGATTGTTTTTTTCCCTTAATTAGAGATTTTGGATTTGAGCCTTAAGTGAAAAATTCTTGGTAGGGAGTGTTCAGTACAACAAAAATAACTTTTAGCGGTAATAAATAAACACATTAATAAAGAGTGCTAAAGTCTTTACTGACATTAGTTACGTGTCATTAGATCCAGTATCGCTAAAGGCTTTAGGACATATACATAGAGTGCTAATTGCCGCTAAAAATACATATTTAGCAGCAATTAAGCTATAAAATCATTTTTGATGTAGTGGTTTCCCCTGAATGGGGTTTTACATGGAGTGAATCTGAAATAGTTGGGCTTCAATGCGGCTATCGTACACCAGATGAGAAGCAAAAAAAAAGAAGCTTATTTTAGTAATATAGTTTTTTCTTTATTTCCTTCCCAGTATTTAGTGTCCGTTTTGGGGTTTTAACTTATTTGAACATATTTGCCAAAAAGTCTCACTTTTAGCTTAAAAGGGTACTAATAATAGGTTTTAGATTCGAAATCCTCTGCATGTCTTTTCGATTGAGCTCGTCTCAGCTTGCCTAGTGTGGTTTATTACTTCTTATGTATGGTTTGTGAGGGCACTACACTGAAGCGAGATTTACCTAGTACATTCTTTTGGTCTTGTTAAGGGGAAAATATATTTTCTGTATGGCTATTAATTGGTAGTACTAATGTCTTGCTACATAGGAAAGAAGAAAATGTTAGATTTGTGTGTCAATTAAATTGGCTTTATCTGGCAACTGCAAATGGGACGTTGGGAAGTTGTAGTACTAATATCTGTATTTCATTAAATGCGACCAATTGTTACTTAGGTCTTTTAACGATGAGCTCAATCGAAAAACACATGCAGATGATATCCACATTTTTTGCTCAACCAACTTTGACATCATCTGACTAATGATAAATAAATGTGGCGTTTCATCTTTTATTTGACCCTTAATTTGTCCTTTTTATTGTACATTGTTTGGACATGTAATTGACTTTTTAAAAATAAAATGTCATAGTCAATATTGCCAACTACTACTTCATGGTTAAATAGCAAAATTAAAGTAAAACACAAATCTTGTTTTTTCATAGATAAAACTTTGGCCCAGTGTGAAATTATGAGTTAGTCATCCTTGAGAATCATATCATTCACCTGTCACGTATTGCCACTTTAGAAAGCAATAGGCAAATGAGATGGGCTTGAAAAAGGAATTTCCCCTTAAACGACTAATATGACCACTAGCTTGATTAGATTGAATTTCGACCACTCTTGGTTCTTGGATCGAATGAAAAAGGTGCAAAGCTAGGAGAGAGGTGGAAGGTTTACACAACTATAAGAACAAAAGGTTGTTCCTCAACAATAACTAAAGCAAAAGTAAATTCAACCTTAATCGATTAGAAGACTAGCATAATAAGAAAGGCGAACTTTCTTGTTTTTTGTTTTCCAGTCATGTTATCAATGACAATATCATATAAATAGTAAAATATAGGAAAAATTGTATATAATAGCAAATTATTAATTCAAATTAATGTCATAACCACTGTTTGATTTAATTGTACCTCGTAGCAAACTGTTGATATTTCGCCTCTCTCACTGGTGAATCTCGCTCGCCTCTCTCGCTTTTATACAACGCAAATGTATAAAATGTGTTTGTGATTGTATAAAGCGAGAGAAAATTGTATATATACATATATTTTCATTTCCCTCTCTCCCCTCTCCCAGATTTCGCTGCCACTCTCACTCGCTTCTCTCACTTTATACAAATACAAATGTATACATTGCGTTTGTATTTGTATAAAGTGAGAGAAAATTATATATACAAATACAAATACATATATTTTCATCCTATACATTTATGATTATACAAATACATATCTTCTCCTGCCCAGTTTTCTTGTCTTTCTCTCTTTTCTCGCTTTACACAAACACAGATTATACAATTGATTCTTTTATATATGTATACCGAAACAGATTATACAATTGCTTCTTTTGTATATATGTATAGCGAAGTATGTTATGGAGCGCATTTATGCAAACTATAGCTATAATATACAAATATGATTTTTGTTTGCTATATGTGAAAGTTGCTCTAAAATATAAGGGGAGTATGTTTTTACTAATATCTCAAAAGGCTCTTATAGTAGTTTATACTAGACACAAGATCGGGCAAGTCCGGACCCACTATCTATTTCTTTATCTGTTTTAATTTATGTAACATAGATAGAATTTAGAGAATTAATTAAATTTTTAAATATTTTTGTAGTTATATTTTTATCGTACGTTTTAATAATATTTGTTACACATGATATTTTGAGAGTTACATTGATAACATTATATTGGGCTAGGGTTCAATATTGAGCAAATTAAGCTTATATGGATACGGCCTCATGTCGGTTTGAAATAAACATTAAAATATTTTTTATATTTTTCATGTTTCAGTATTAAAAAGGTTTTGAAAAATATTATAAGAAAAATAAGCCCTTCAAATATGTAAAGTGATTTTTCTGATTAAAGCAAGAAAAATAAGTTTCAAGAAAGAGGGAAAAAAGGGTCTTTGAATAAATGGACAAGGAAAGACATTGAAAGAGCAAAGAGAAACTGGACAAAAGAGAGAGGAACTAAAATACTAAACTAATTAAATAGCCGTTCATTCAAATGATTAAATTAAAAATAGCTGGCGATATAATATATGTGTAATTCGTGTACAATATGTGTGTGCTTGTGTATAATGTGATAATATATATATATAGAAAAATAGTAAATTTGTTTGGCTATTTCCGTAAAGATCCCAAAAAAAACAACAAGAAGATAGATAGAGACTCATTCGACTAAGAAAAAACTTCAGATATTACTATGAAATAAGATCCTTGTGAAATACATGCATGCGAATTTTTAATAAAAGGATAGACTGGATTAAGGCTATTTAGACGCCCACCGTGGGGCTCAAACCCACGACCACAAGGTTAAGAGCCTTGCGCTCTACCAACTGAGCTAGACGGGCCACACATTGTAATACATTTATTACTTAGAAATATTTCTAAGGAATTAGGGGGAAAAATGTATGAATATGCTAGCATAACTTCCTTAAAGAAATAATTATAATACTATAAGGGGTCGTTTGGTTTGAAAATGAGTTATGATGGGATAAGTTATGTTGGGATAAGTTATGTTGGGATTAGTTATGATGGGATAAGTTGTGTTGGGATTATTTTTTATTGAGTGTTTGGTTTGTTGTATTCAAAATAATAAATTTTAAGAACAATTTATTTGTTTACAAAAATGCCCTTCATTAATGTAAAAAGTGATATAACAAAAGGGTTGAAAGAGACATTTTTGTCATTTACCTATTTTATCCCGGGATAAGTTATCCCGGGATTACTATACCACCCAAGGAGAGGGATAACTTATCCCGGTACTAATTATTAATCCCGGGATAAGTTATCCCGAACTTGCCAACCAAACAACAAAATAAGCGGTACTATAATTTAATCCCGGGACTATTTGTTATTATACCTCACACCAAACGAGCCCTAATAACATATCTGAAAAGGATGAACTTATAAGGTTTTAATGTATTGCATAATTAGAAAAAGCTACTTTTTATAGTGAGATGATTGATATCATAATATGCCTTCATGAAATATATGTTGGGTTGGGGGGGGAATATGTACAATGAAAATGGTTCATTCGAATTTCTTTCTTCAAAAATTATACCGCACAAATAAAATTATAGTATTTTTCTTAAATTATCTTTTAATTGAAGTGATTAAATTTTTTTAAAAACTAATTTCTCGCCATAATTTTTTTTTGTTAGGAGCATAAATAATTGTATTTATGAAAATTCCTCTTCTTTTTATCCCTTTCAATATGTGGTGCCAATAGGTGAAAATGAGTTGCACTAAACATTTTAAACGAAAATTTCATCCCTACACTTGACTTTCTACTTTTGGAATTGGATTGTGGGGAGGGGGGACAATGAAAATAACTTCCATTGTTGTTAATTTATTTCGGATGTGTTCGATTATTTCATTTAGATATTCAAATTAAATTATATATACTCAATCAATTCAACTCTCGATAAAATGTTCCAGCTAGGCACTTTCGATAATTTAAGCTTTTTTAAAAAATAAATAAAAATAAGTACATTTGTTTTCATTCATCTATTAGATAGTTAAGTTAGACAAAGTAAAATATGTCATCT